TCGACGGATAATCCCGGCGGTTCTAAATCCTCTGTATCGTACTCAATTACTGCACAGTTTGCTGCCATATCAGCGTGTTTCTGTGTATCCGCAACCTGAGAAGCCACGGAAAAACCTGATCAGAAATCGACGAGGAAAAAAAAAGACGGTAAAGACGATACAGAAGCTAGAGTTACCACAAGGGCAACTCTCTGGCCGGCAGATTGAGTAAATTCATCTGAAAACAAGGGGCCTGAGCCGAACATGGTCTTGGAACCGACGTTTTGTCCCTCTTCGGGAATGTCCTTGAAGTCGATAACTTCCAGAACTCCGATTGGTTTCACGCCGTCTCTGAAGCCTATGCTCTTTATCCGAGCCATAGCTTTCGTGCTATAAATGAATGCTCCATATAAACAGTCCGGTAAAGATGGAATATCATCGACGAAAACAGCTTCACCTGAGGGAAAAAAAAATGCCGTAAACATAATATGAACAATAACAACTGAAATCAAGAACATATAACTTCCCTCGTGTCGTGTTCTGAATTATAAGTTTTAGAATTATAAGATAACGGTATTAACGACGAACCAGAAGCCTGCATTGCAGCTCCAACTTTGATAACCGCTTGACCAACAGGCCGGAATTCACTGCTCTCAAACACCTGCTGTGCAGATGATAGCAAAACCCGAGAATTTTCGAGATCATTGTAGCCGTTTTTGCGTTTTCTTTTTGAGTCATCACGTGGAAAACTCGGGGTTGTATTACTGTTCTCGATCAATGGGTAGAAGAACTCAAAAAGAAACCCGACAGCCAAGCTTTTCCGGTACTCGGGGTAAGAGGTATCCTTGCAAGGCTCTATGATGCCTCTAAGTAACCTCACAGCTTCATAAAGAACACTGTAGTTTAGTGATTTCCCCGTCAAGAACTCCTCGATTTTCTTGGCTCGGATCGAATGTTCCCCGCCGTAAGAACCAAATACCAAACGGCAATCATCCACTACGATGCATTGCGAAGATTCCCATCGAGAGACTCGTGCCAAGAATGCCGCATTTACATAGGGCAACGCGCTTCCGAGCGGGCGAGGTGCAGCTCGGTAGGTTTCGAAGAGGAATTCGGTTTTTGGGCGAGAAGAAACACTCCAGAAAGGGATTTCGACGTTCAGAAGAACCGTGTTAGATTCCAATACTGGAGGCAGTTCAAGAAACTCCTCCATACTAAGCTTCTCGTATTCCCCATCACTCATTATATTCACCGTGGCATCTACAGCGAGGAAAACCGTAGCAATGTCGGAAGGGAATCGTTTGCTCTGAGCCATCACTAAATTACCTCCGATACTACCCGAGTTCCTAATAAATTTGTTCGCGACTTTCTCCATATGACTCGCCATTTTCGTGAAAACATCAGAAACCTTGCTTTCCTCTTTCAAAACGTCAATGGCTTTAGATATCGTAACAACAGCTCCGATCTCAATCCCGCTACCGTTCTTCCTGATCATCGACAACTCGGGAATGCGTCTGATATCAATATATCTATCGAACTTTTCTCGTTCCTTGTAGTAACCCGTTCCTGTGTTGCCAACAACTAGCTTCACTGAACCTTCATTACCACCAAGTGTTTTACCTCCGAGAATCCTTTGTAGTTCTTCAATACTCTCGGGAGTGCTCCAACGATACTTGGTCTGATCCAAAACATTACAAGACTCGATCTCTTTCTTCAAGAACTCGGGGAAAGTAACAAGATGGCGTTTAGCGCTATATGCAGGCAAGTTTTCTAACATCACTTCTTTGTTGTCCCCTTTCTTCCAAAAGGCATTGAACCCTAAATCCTCTATATCAACATCAGAAGCAAAACTCTTACAAGCATCGACGATAGGCCGGTAACCAGTGCAGCGGCAAAGATTTCCGGCAACTGACATTTCTGCTTCGGAAACAGTCAGCCTGGAAAAACCAGGACGAGGCTTTGGCCCATCGGATTTATCAGCATTTACAAGAGCTGAACAGAGAGAAACACACATCCCGGGGGTACAGAATCCGCACTGCGAGGCATGGAACCCTGCAATCCTCTCGTGAATCGGGTGGAACCCTTTGCGGGTATTTCCTAGCCCCTCGGACGTTGTTATGGAACATCCATTTATGCTGCAGAGAAGGGTCAGACATGAGCTTATCGTAAAATCCTCGACTCGGTCCGACTCGGTATCGTATTTCGAAAGAAGGACGATACAAGCTCCACACCCGCCTGCAAGGACAGAAGCTAGCGAGTCAGTGTAAGAGGGATTAACTCATTTAACTCAGTAATGTAATACAGACCAAGCTTTGATAGAAAACCAAACATGACAAGAGCGTGTTCCTTGACTTGGCAATTTGGTTGAGAGAGTTTTCAGACAGGATATTAACTAGATTCAGGCTAAAGAGAAAGCAGAAACCTGAAACTCCGATGACAAAAATGGACAGATCAGGTGCTGTTCCGGTAAAGGAAAGAACACAAACAGATATATAGCATGAATCTGCTTTTCACTACAGATAATAATTAATACAGGATTTGAGCATGAATTCCAAACCGACATAGCCCTCCCCCTCCACAGAATTACAGAGATCTTCACATATAGAATTCAAGCAACGTCGTTGCCCGGTCGAGCTTGACACTCTTGAAAGAGAGAGAGAGAGAGAGAGAGAGAGAGAGAGAGAGAGATCACCTTCGCCGCAGCTGAGCTTGACACTCTTGAAACGAGTGCTGGATCGCAAGAATTCAAGCAACGTCGTTGAAGGGTCGATGGAGGAGACCTGGAATCTTTCTCCGTTTACAGCAAAAACCAAATCCTTGCCCGACATTTTCTGCTCAGCAAGAGAAAACAAAGGGTTGAAAACTTCGAACCACAGACTCCAGAGCTCAAATCAGTAAAACCCATTAGCTGAATTTCTCATCTTTCACACAAAGCGCACAAGAAACACAACCAATCCCTTACCCGACGAGAAAGAAAGCCGGAAACTTTGGATCTAATGCTTCCAGAAACAGAGAGAACGATTCAGAGGTGACTCCTTACTTCACAATAAGCAAGCAAAGGCACGAAATTTCAGAGAGAACGAAACAGATGGGAGGGACCCACAAGCTGTTTCAACACGGAAAGCTTTCTATTCGGCCTTTAGATTCGGATTGGTAAGATCAGTCTCTTTCGTATCCAGTTTTTGTCTGAAAATGGCTGCTTCTCTTTGATTTTGGGAATATATCTTCCTATTTCTCTTTTGTTTGACTCTCTGGAAGGAGGAGCTTTCAGACAAGAAGCTCCAGTTACAGGAACAGTACGAGCAGTCGCATGAAGAGATAATTACTGCAAAAAAAAAGACATAATCTATGAATTTTAAAAAAAATCTGACCTTCGGTGACTTTGTGATGACTCTGACATGGCCGATAGAGATGCTTCCTTGTCCTGTTTCGACATTTGAGAACTTTCCGAGAATGGCCGCCACGACATTAAAAAAAAAATAGAAAATTTCTTATAAATGCACGAAAACTGATAAATGCATCAACTATAAAAATAAAGATATTTTACCAAAAAATAAAAGAAAAATAAATGAATTAGTATCTTATTCTAGTTAAAATTTACAAACTATTGTACCAAAAATCTACACAGCAAACATCGTTATTTATTTGACGAAATCTGAGTAACCAGACGTTGAGACAACAACAAAAAAAAATTCAATTATTATCGATTGCTACATATCGATATCTAGTTACGAGATTTAGTCAGATATTAACTATTGTGTAGTGTTTTTTGGATGCTGTATAAAATTTATTATTTTAATTAGGGTGGACAATAATTTATATATTTTTTTCAAAAAATATATAGATGTGTATTATGATATTTTTATTTAAACAAAAAAAATGTTAGAAATTTTGACCAAAAAAAAATGTTAGAAATAGAAATGCAAAACGTCTCGGGAAGAAGCTACGGCCTTTTTCCAAAGGTTAGGTATATTGGCAATATTAGAGATAATCCGAACTCAAACAGACGATTTTGTTTTTTATATTTCTCAGTGAAATAAAAACCTTTCAATTATTTTATGTATTTTAAAAATAAAATAAAAATAGAAAAATTAAGTGAACAATTAAATGTCCAACTTCTAGTTTAGTAGTTTAGATAAACCGTTACGCTATAATATAAGTAATAATTTTTATTTAAGAATATATTTTGTTTTAAAAAATTATTGATTGTTTTGTTTTCCAATATATTAAACCAATTTTATTTTACAATTCCTTACCTAACAAAGCTTATATTCATGATATATTTTATTCACAATAAAATATCAAAATCTCTTATTTATCCACGGGAATTCTATTTTTCACTTTATTGCTTTCTTAATATATCAAGAAAAACATTTCAAATTATTCATTTATCTTAATAAATTTATTTTGATATATATTTATATTAACAAATTTAATTTTATTTGTTCAAACTTTGGATCGTTAAAATTGTAATAAATTTATATTCGTTAAAACTTTTTTACGAATTCGTTTGGTTTTTTAAATTTTGTTTCCAATTTATGAATTAGAAAATATGATCGGAATTTCTCCTTATTACGTTTACGAATTTCTTCTAGATTTATATTATTTTTTATAATCAATATTTTTTTATTTCTTAATTAGATGTTGTATTGTTTAGTAGAAATTTTACTAAACTAAAAAAAACACAGAGCTTGTAACCATGTTATTAAACCGGCTAACATCCATATAAATTAAAGTCGAAGTAAACCGGTCTAAACCAATTCGCTATTTCTAACGACGTTGGGGAAGTCTGTTAAGTTCGTTGGAGCTTCAAAAGAGCCATTGTGCAATTTCCACTTGGTTTCTTCTTCTTCTTTATCACGTACGATAATATTTTATTTTTTTATTGACATTATCAATATCCTTATTTTACTTCTTCAATAGAGTTTACTCACTAACAAGCACTCTTACAGAACCGCCGTGAAAATCTCGCCGGCGGCATTCATTTTCCGGCGATCTTCAACTCCAAGAACTTCTCCACGATCTGAAGCCCACAAAGCTCCTTCACCACCGGCATTGTCGCTGGAACCGGTAACTCGAAACCAGGATCAGATCCGTCTTTGTTCCAAGCGAAGATCTGTTTTCGAGCTTCTCTAATGGCTGATCTCGCAGCGCAGTGAACAGACGAGGCGAGATGCAACGGAGGCTCACCTGAAGCTGCATATCACACGAAGAACTTCGTTAAATAAGTAATCCATTTGCTCAGGAGATGATCATTTTATACGATTGTTCAGATATCTGAGTTAGTTCACCAGTTCGTTCTGTTGTTTCAATTAGGACTCGACGTGCGTATCCGAACTCGACGGATCGGTAGGTGTGAGTACCCAAAATTTGAAAACCCTACTGCCGTTGAGTGCGAGGACGGGTCTTTTGCCGACGAGGGCCAAGCTGTGGGTTCAAATACGGGCTTCGTCCTGTGAAACCCAAAACAGAAGGGGGACAGAGAGGCGAGCTGGCGGCTAGGGACGAAGAGGCAGAGAAATTCATTTCCACCCCTCTCGAACCTCGCCTTCTTCGCTGGGCTTTGTCCCTCTCTCACAAACCCTTTTCGGTCAATCCCTCGCTGTAGCCGATGGTCGGGTACCTGACCCTTAGAAAGACGAGACCGAGATACCTCGGTCAAAATACTCGAAGGGGCAAATCCGAAGCCGAGTACCTGACCCATGTCCACCCCTAGTTTCTATAGCGAAAAAAGCTCTCGAACTTCGAGTGAATTTGTCAGTCCATTTCATAAAAGCTTATGATGAAAATTTTGAGGTTTAACAACTAGGATTGTCGTCTAAATTCAGCGGAAATTAAACTCTAGACTTGATGGAGTTTTAATGCCATGACGTTTAGGTGATTTGCCATCAAAACCAACTCACTCTGGGGCACAAGTAAAATAACGATTTTTTGTACCTTTGGAGGAAAGAACGCGGTTCTTGTGATAACCGCTGTTAAGGACCTCGACGTTGAACTGTTTAGGAACGGTGTCTACAGTTGGAATTTTGTAGTTCCACGTCCCGTCTTGAACCACGAGTCCATTCTCGTCAGTGGTGTACTCTTCCAGCATGAAAAACCCAATTCCTTGAACAAATGCTCCTTCGATCTTCACATAAACAGAGAAAAAGAAAGATAGAAAACCCTTAAACGTTATATCAGTTCTTGATTAAACACTCAATCCATCAGCTTTTGAACTTCGGTGTGATTTGTATCCTTGTGCCATAGTTTAAATCTTTAGCAGAAAAACACGATATTAAACTCGAGCTCGACTGTGTTTGGGAGCCGAGAAAAACGAAGAAAAGGGAGTGAAAATACAGAGGAAAACAGAGCAATGAGATGGAGAGAAGTAAGCTTACAGTGTACATTCAATACTTCCGGTTAAATAACAAACTTATAACATAATGAAAATTTCGAAGATTTTACAACAACAGAAGAAAAAAGCAAGGAAGGAGCTAACCTGTCCTAAGTCGACAGCAGGATTTAGGCTTTTTCCGCAGTCGTAAATGATGTCAGATCGCAGAATTTCCGTTGCGCCTGTCAAAAGGTTCACTTCCACCTGCATTCAAAAATCTGTTATTTCTCCCGTGTAACAACAGAGTTACATATATTCGTTTTTTTCTGGTATGCAGATTTACAGACAGTGAAAGCAAAACCAGTTTTAGCTAATTCCCGCATGACTTGCCTCACTGATTGCAACCCCGTAGTTGAGGTAGTCCTTCGAAGAAGTCTCCGGCACATAAAAGGCACTTGCAGATAAGCTCAGAGTTTGAGCATAAGCCTGCGGTGTTTTTACAGAAAGAAAAGTTCAAATTTGGAAAAGATCTGTTGTGAATCTCTGTTGAAAAATAAAAAATGTGATTGGAATTATTAGCTAATCTACCTGAGTAACAAGTGTGTCCCAATTCACTGAACCGGTTTTCTCTAGAATCTTGTCCATCATAGGTTTAAGTCTGTTCACCAAGATTTCACAGCAGAGACCAATGGCAGCACAGCTGTTCTCGGATGTCGTGCTACCGTTTGTTAAACCGCCTTGAGTCAAACTGATCGTATCGGCCTGTACAACCCGTATTTTCTCCAAAAGCTTCTCACTTCCGTCACATTTGATCAAACCAAGACCATAAGCAGTCATCTGTTGTACCTTAGTCCACAACCCCTGACCTAGCTCAATACCTCCGACCTCAGCAACAACAGATCCATCACTAAAAATGCTTACTTTTCCTGGAGTTGCCCTCTGTGTACATTGATGAACAATGGGTACTCGAGAAATTCCCCGTTTGCGCCATACATTAGACCCGTTGAACTCTTTCACCATTTCAACCCTTTCCTTGAACCCGGAAGATATCTCCAACTTGTCCCATATCGAAGGCAAGGTATACTCATTTCGGTCACCAGCAGTTTGCTGATAGAACTTGGTGAGACTCTCGTACGTATGAAGATTAGTCTTCCTCACTGCATCGACATCCATGTTGAGGGAAGAAGCGACATTCTCAATGATAACTTCGCCAATGTATGAGCCTTGTAGCTCCCCAGGAGCTCTCATAGTTGTCCGGCTGGGCAGATTTGTCTTACAAACTTTCACATCAACGGACATGGCACCCCAATCATACTTCCTCATGGGACCCCACATAAAGTTTGGCATCTTTGGGCTTACATCCTTATCGAACCCTCCATCTATTAATATCTCTAGCTCTAGTGCTGTGATCTTTCCATTTGATTTGAAACCGACGTTATACGTTATTTTCATGGGGTGCCTTCCCCCCGCCATTACCATGTCCGTCTTTCGGTTCAGATACATTTTCACAGGACGCTGCAGTTTGTGTGCAGCTAGTGCACATGCTGTCGCAACCTGAACCACCATCTCAGTAAGCGTTAATGTCAAAACCTAATGGGCAAATTAAGCCATTCTTCTAAACCTCAAGTATCCATTTACACATCTCTCCTCAAAAGGAACGGTTTTATAGTTGAAGAAATCAGATTCAAAAGGCGAAACCCATAAAGCAATCATTTTGATGCAAATAAATAATACTCACAGGCGTGGATTTTGTAGTTTTCCCACCGAATCCACCTCCAACTCTTCGGGTGATCACTCGCACGTTATGTTCTTGGATGCCAAGACAATTAGCAATTACGGTATGTGTGTACTGAGGGGCTTGGCTTGCAGTATATACCTCCACACAATTGTCTTCATCTGGTAAGGCAAGCGCTGCTTGTGGCTCGATATAGAAGAAGTATTGCGACCCAAGTCGGAACTGAAAACATTCACAAAACACGAGGCTGAGGACGTTAACTTAGTGTATAAAATTCAAAAAGAGAGGTGCAATACCACGGCTGAGAGGATCTTGAAATCAGCTTCAGACATTCCTATTGAAACATCACCAATCGGTGGCAGATAATACTTTGAAGGGACCTCATAGAAGCTAGATCTTTTAACTGCATCCTCAACAGATAATATCGGTGTGTCTAAATTCTCCATGTCGTACTCGACTATGGCAAGGCTTGCCGCAATGTCTGCATGTTTCTGCGTATCGGCAACCTGAAAAGCCGATAAATATTTATCAGACATGAGGACAAGAACAAGGAAGATGAGACTGAAACTAGACTTACCACAAGAGCAATTCTCTGTCCGGTGGATTCAGCAAGCTCATCTGCAAATAATGGGCCCGAGTCAAGATCAGATGTCAAGTAAGCGATGTTTTGTCCCCCTTGTGGAATATCCTTGACGGTAATAAGTGCCAGAACTCCGGTTGGTATCACATTTTCTTTGAAACCTATGCTCTTAATTCGAGCAAAAGGTTGTGTGCTACAAATGAATGCTCCATGTACACATTTTGGTAAAGATGGAATGTCATCAACGAAAATGGCCTCACCTGAGAAAAATACCCATGTCAGGTGCAACAAAGTTTTTTACGAGCTTACATTCAAAACATTTTTTTCTCATGTTCTTGACCTGTATCTCTAGTGCTTAAAGCCGCCATTCCCTATATGAAACATGTTAACTTTCTTAAGAAAAAAAATCAGCTTTTTTAATTAAAAGGAAAAAGATATAGCAACGAACCGGAAGCCTGCATAGCAGCCCCGACTTTGATGACCGGTTCACCAACAGGAAAGTATTCATTACTCTCAATGAGCTGCTGAGCAGATGACAACAAAGTTGGAGGTTTTTCAAGATCAAAATGGTTGTCAGTAGCAATCAACGGATAGAAAAACTCAAAAAGAAACCCGATAGCCAAGCTTTTCCTGTACTCAGGGTAAGAGGTGTCTTCGCTGGGAACTACAATGTTTCCAAGTAACCTAACAGCTTCATAAAGAACAGCATGGTTGAGTACTTTCCGGGTCAAGAACTCCTCAATTTGTGTTGCCCTGATCGAATGTTCACCTCCATATGAACCAAATGACAACAAACATTTATCCACCATGATGTCATTTGAGGATCCATGGCGAGAGACTTGTGCTAAGAAGGCAGCGTTCAAATATGGCAGTGTGCTTGCAAGAGGGTAAGGTGCAGCTCGATAGGTTTCAAAGATAAGATCTGTGTTGGCACCAGTAGAAGCATTCCAGAAAGGAATTTCTACACTCAGAAGAACTTTGGTAGACTCCAATACTGAAGGAAGACCAAGAAAATCCTCCAGTCTCAGCTTCTCTTGTTTCTCGCCATTCATTATGTTTACTGATGCATCGACAGCGAGCAAAACAGTAGTGATGTCAGAAGGAAATCCTTTGCTTTGAGCCATCACTAGATTACCCCCTATACTACCCGAGTTCCTGATAAAGTTGTTGGCAACTTTCTCCATGTGACTAGCAATTTTTGTGAAAATATTACCAAACTTGCTCTCTTCCTTCAGAGCAGCAATAGCTTTGGATATCGTAACAGCTGCTCCAATTTCAATTCCAGTATCGTTCTTCCTAATCGTTGACAGTTCAGGAATGTGAGTGAGATCAATATATATGTCATACCTTTCTTGTTCCTTATAGTAACCTGATCCAGTGTTGCCAGCAACTAAATTTACCGAAGCGGCCTGGTTACCCTCTAATATGTTTTGAAGCTCTGAGATGCTAGCAGGAGTGTTCCAACTGTATTTCGCCTGATCCAAAACATTATACGGAACAATCTCTTTCTTCAAGAACTCTGGAAAATTGAGAAGATGGACTTTAGGATTATATGGAGGCAGATTTGCTATCATCTTTTCTTTGCTTTCTCCTCTCTTGCAAAAGGAGTTAAAACCCAAATCCTCTATGTCAGCATCAGCGGCAAAACTCTTACAAGCATCGACGATAGGACGATAGCCTGTGCAACGACAAAGATTTCCAGAAATAGACTTCTCTGCTTCGGAAACGGGCATCTTGGAAAATCCGGGAGAAGGTTGTGACTCATTGGACTTATTAGCATTGAGAAGAGCCGAATAGATTGAAATGCACATCCCAGGAGTACAAAACCCACATTGAGAGGCATGGAATCCGGCTATCCTCTCGTGAATAGGGTGGAATCCTTTTTGTGTATTTCCGAGTCCCTCAGACGTTGTTATGGAACAACCATTTATACTGCAAAGAAGGGTTAGGCACGAGTTTATAGTAAAGTCATCAACCCGGTCTGAAGTGGGATCATATTTTGATAGAAGTACAATGCAAGCACCACAACCCCCTGCAAGACAGATCTAATGAGTCAGTGTAAGAACAATAAACAAAAGCATTTCTTGAGGTAGTCTGAAGTGCAGAAAGAATCAAATATATTATACAAGCAACAAATCCATGAACTTGACAAACAAAAAGTAGCCAAAATCGCCAACACATTGACAAAGATAATTGACACAAAGCATTGTTGACATGTATATATACGTATACACTAACAATCTCAAGCTTTCATCATCATGATTCAAGATTCAGGCGAGAAAGCATGATCACAATAACACCACGAAATAAAATTTCTGGGGAATTATGAGCATTGGGTGTTTGTTTACCTTCGCCGCAACCGAGCTTGACGCTCCTGAAATCAGTGTTGGAGCGCAAGAACTCGAGCAATGTCATTGAAGGATTGACCGAGGAGACCTCGAACCTCTCTCCATTGACAGCAAACACCAAATTCCCACCCGCCATTTTCTGCTCATAAAAAAAGTTCAAAACTTTGAATCACTTAACTCAAAAACCCAAAAAAAAAGTGTGAAAATTTTCACAGCCCAGGTAAGAAAATGGCCGAATTACTGAAACCCTTATGCTGAATTACTCATATTCTGCAGAAGATTTGACTAACTTACACTGTCAACCGGTACCCAACCATTTCTGCTAAGAGTTACGAGGACGAACGAAGAAAGAAGTCGAATTTCTTGGCTTAAGTCTTAGAATGTTCTCTCTCTGAGTCTAAATTCTAATGTCTAAGGAGGGAGAGGGCTCAAGAGGTCAAAATAAATTTAAAGGGAAATTAGTGATATTTATTTAATTATTTTGGTTTGCACCAATTTAATTTAACATTACATTAATGAACTTACACATGTTTTAAAATATTTAAGAAAACAGCCTGGTTTTTTCCTTGACTAATAAAACAGTAGTTTCAAAAATCATTTTAATTAAGAAAGATTTATATTTAACTATTTAAATTTATTTTAATTTTAAATTGTTGGGATTTAAAATATAAGAATTCAAAAAAAATATTATCTATTAACTACGAGTACGAGATTGAATAGTCTACCAACCTCGGATCGATATCCAATCAGAAAGTAATAAACTTGTTTACCAATCCGGTTATCGGCTTATGCTCGTCCGGTTATGACCGGTTTTGTATCGGTACAGTCTACTTGGTTTCTGGTCTTACATTTGTTTACATATTCAAGAACAGATTGGTTTTCCATTTTCAGCGATGATGCGAAAAGTAATCTAATCTTCCTCTTCGTCTCTCTTGTTTCAATAAAGGATTGGAGAAAATATTCGGGGATTAAGAAAAGCACACAAGGCATGAAAATCTAGAACAATATAAATATTCCATTCTATAAAAACTTATAATTAGTTATTATTATTATTGTTGTTATGAAAACTCACCTCGACAACGTCGAACAAAATAACCCGAATTATGCTACGAACTCTATATTTTCCCCATTTTGCTTCTCGTAATCTTTTCGATACTTGTGGTTCTCTCGTGTATTTCTTCAAATCTCTCTCTCTCTCTCTCTCCCCTTTCTTCTACTGTAGCTCACTCTTGCTTCCAATCATTTATAAAGACGCAGTTCAATTTGATTGAGCACGTGACAAATATCTATGGAGTTTGTTTTTTTTATCCGAAATTATGGAGAATTGATACCATAATTTCTTTTATAAAAAAATCACTTTTTTTAAAAAAAAATTTGTCTATAAATACTAGGTGTTCAAACCTTGAGATTCGACGATTATTTTCATATTTCGTTTGAATTAGTATAATATTTTTGTAAAAATTATATCCAATGGATTCTTCAATATGTATTGTTCACTTTGTTTTTGTATTATCTTAACCTAAATTACCACCACTAATTAATAATTTATCCTTGGAAGATATTTATGAGTTATGGATGTGTGTGGGTGAAATATTTAAAAAAAAATTTCATGGAAAAAAAAACATTACATGGAAAACGTTTTCTAAAAAGCTTTTGGTCCCAACGCATTTACCACAAAAAGACAAGAATAAAGAAAAGGTCATGTTCAATCATAGTCTCTACAACCAAAAACGTGATGGATTAGACTTCATCGTATAAATCCGATTTAGCCCGGTTTGATTTGGTTTAACTTGTATTTATACGATAAGTCTTTTTTTTTTTTATAAATCTAATATTTTCTATTTTGGTATCGGTTATCAATAACCGGTTTTAACCGTTTTCCCAGTTTCGCCTACATTTAGTTGCACTTCTTCTATTTATCAATATACTTTCTTAAGTTTATAAGAAAGTTGCTAATATTATGGTTCAAGAATATTTCGTATTAATTTTTTTGTTTTTTTTTTTAATTTTGTTTTCATTGGCAAAGTGTTGAAGATTTTAGCAAACTTGCTAGTCAGGAAGTTTTATTTATACAAAGAAATTTTTCCAAATAATTTTCGTAATATTTATATACCTTAATTTATATATGGAATGCCTAACTACTACGTCGTCCGATTCTGACACATCCAGCTCAAACTGGACCAGTTTGGTACTTGTTAGGACCGGTTTGACAGTGACCTGTTCGTGGATCCGGTCTGAGATTTCCATTGAACCGGAAAATCTGGTTAACAAACCGGTCGAAAACCGCGAACAGGGTGAATTACAAATCGGAGAAAATCCCGGTTCATTGTTTCTCTTAGCCAAACCGGATGTGGACTCCCATGTCCAATCAATTCTCAATCAAGTTTGGACCACTTTTCACCTTTTTTCTGTTGAATTATTTTTGTCCCTGGACCATTTATGAATCATTCTCAACACACACACACATATATATGTGAACAACATAACTTGAATATGAACTATTAGCAAGAATAATTGATATCTACAATGATGGAAACTAGGACTTATTAAAATCTAAATTTTAATAGAAATATATATTTTATTACGGAGAATCAATCATAGGAAGCAAATCCCGAGATTGTAATCTTTACATAACAGTTTCCTAAATTGTAGTCAAGCTAGCGTGTATATATCATTGGAGACAAATGTAAATCAAATGCAATATTCTCAAACGTTAAATGGTATCAGAGCCCTTAAGTCAAAAGACTACGTAACCCTAATTTCTTTTTCTCCATCCTCTTGTCGCCACCTTCAGCCATGGCCACCGATGGAAGCTCTTCTGCCAACGGCAATCAATCTTCTATTCCAAACGAAACCGTGACTCCTTTTAATACCGAGAATCCCTCTCAAACATTGATTAACATCAATGTGTCGAATGTTTCGAAACTAACGGCAACGAACTACATTCCTTGGAGTCTCCAAGTCCGAGCCTTGCTGCAAGGCTATAACCTTCATGGTTTTTTATAGCCAGATTCTGCTCCTCCAGCCACTATCACTACGAACAACATCGTCACATCAAACTCAGCCTATGAAGCGTGGTTCCGGCAAGACAGGTTGATCTTTGCCGCTCTTCTGGGTTCTCTCTCCGCCTCATGTCAGGCCATTATCACGACGTCACCGACATCCGGTCATGCTTGGACCACATTAGCAACCACATATGGTCGGTCTAGCCGCGGTCATGTGAAACAAATAAAAGAGCAACTTCGACGTTTCACGAAAGGTACCAAATCGATTGATGAATATATGATGTTCTTCAAAGTAAAAGCCGATGAGCTCGCACTACTTGGAAAACCGATGGATCATGAAGATCTCATCGATCTTACGCTTGCTGGCCTTGGTGATGAGTACAAGGCTGTTAAAGACGTTGTCCAAGCCAAGGACACCACAATCTCCTTTGTTGAACTTCATGAGAAGTTACTCAACCATGAAGTGGATATTAGTGCCTCCCAATCCACACTCTCGGACATTCCTATCACAGCCAATGCCGCGACATACAAGCCTCGCCAGCAATACCGATCGAACAACCGACAACAACAAGACAATCGCCAACCTAGAAACTGGAACAATGGCTCGAGAGGATATCAAGGCAAGTGTCAACTATGCGGGATCCAAGGTCATAGCGCAAAGTTCTGTCGTCTTCTCCGAGGAAACTCCGGGAATCTGCTGAAC